GTCTTTTGCAGTCCTGGGTCAATCTCTCGCAGTCCCTGGTCAGTCCCGGGTCAGTCCTGGGTCAGTCCCTCGCAGTCTTTTGCAGTCCTGGGTCAGTACCTTGCAGTCCCGGGTCAGTCCCGGGTCAGTCCCGGGTCAGTCTCTCGCAGTCCTGGGTCAGTCCTGGGTCAGTTCCTCGCAGTCTTTTGCAGTCCTGGGTCAGTACTTTGCAGTCCCGGGTCAGTCCTGGGTCAGTCTCTCACAGTCCTGGGTCAGTCTCTCGCAGTCCCGGGTCAGTCCTGGGTCAGTCTCTCACAGTCCTGGGTCAGTCCTGGGTCTGCGGGTCAGAATTCCTCTTGCTATCCATGCTGGCTCCTGAGTGCCAGCCGTCTCCAGCTGCAGTGGTGTTTCTTACGCCACATTCCAACCGGCCAAACTGATCAAATCTGAGGGAGCTTAAGACTGTGTTTTAAAATTAGAATGCTAAACATGGAAAATGCCATTATTTCAGTGCAAACATTTTTTTATTTTAAAATTCCTATAGGAAAAATTCTTTAATTACATGACATGCTTCTATCACCCCGACCTTTAACACAGTGGCCCCAGAAGTCTTCTACATAGTCTCAATAAGAAATGACTATGGCTGTGAAATACAGTCTTGTGATGGTGTCTTCCACCCACCTGAATTCCTTTCTCTTAATAAGAAATATGAATGGCACTGGCACTGCCTCTTTGTTCATTCAAGCTGAGTGTGACAGCACACATCGCTTCCCGAACCTGATTTGGACTTATTGTCCACCCAGGGGTCGTTATTTTCCCTGTGAGAAAATTGCCTGCTCTGTAGTGAATGAATTGGATGGGCAGTTTTCCTGCAGGGTAAATTCAGCCCCCTGCTTTCCCCCTGTGATTTTTCTCACCGATTTGAAACAACCGATTTCAAAGCCAGTTTGTGCTCACGGAGGCTAGGATTGCTGATGATAGAGCTGCTCTGATTGCAGCATCTTGCCTGATATCTTTTCTCAACCTCGCTGTTCCAGGCTGTTCCAGACTGTTCTCCGACCAGCTCCTGTCCAGCCCCCTGCCCAGCTCCTGCCCAGCCCCTTGCCCAGCTCCTGTCCATCTCCTGCCCAGCCCCTTGCCCAACTCCTGTCCACCTCCTGTCCAGCCCCCTGCCCACTCCTGCCCACCTCCTGTCCAGCCCCCTGCCCATCTCCTGTCCAGCCCCCTGCTCATCTCCTGTCCAGCCCCCTTCCCAACTCCTGCCCAGCTTCTGCCCAGCCCCCTGACCAGCTCCTGTCCAGCTCCCTGCCCAACTCCTGTCGAGCCCCCTGCCAAACTCCATTCCAGCCTGGATGTCTGGCCTACATCTGGCAGCTGTGTTTAGGTCGACATTATTTTTTCTCACCATAGTGATAAATGTAGAGAAGAGCAAGAGAAGGAGAATTTGTACTGAACTTTACCTGGACCTCTTCCTGTAAAGGAGAATTTGTTCTCCATTGACTTGTCTAGTTAAGTAAAAAATGATTATGGAGCATTTCCCACAATCCCATGCAATACTCTGTTAAGTTGTTCTTGTAGTGACAAACCTTCAATTTTGGTTGGTTTAGGAGTCACTTCTGTTTTTGGATATTCCACTGAGGCATGAAGTAGATCACAAGACTCACAGTTCTAAAAATGATATTTTGAAAAATTAATGATTTAAGCATTTCTAATGCAATTAGAGGAAATAGAACTGCTTATTTTTTACTCGACAAAAAGTAAAAAAAAACGCATTTACTTACAAATTCCAATTCTAATTTATCTGATAATATTGTTTTCTAATTTCATCAGCAGTGGGGTGGAGAAATCTTTCTGTTCTTGAACTTTGGCAAATGCATATTATTAATTGGGTCTCTTTTGTAAATCCCTGAACAGTACAAAACTGAAATTACTCTCCTCTTGCTAAGCAACACATACAAAAATACTGGGAACCCCCCACACAAATACTCAGCAACACAAAGGAGCTCTTTCAGTCAGTCTGATCTAACAGTGTTATAAACCCTGCACGACTGGTTAGAGCTGTAACCTCATTCCTGTTTACCTGCCTGGTCAGTTGCTTGTGTGATCGTTGCAGTTCCGCGCGGGGTCGTGCCCGCCGCCACCCCGTTCCGTCCCGCACACCTGGGGCGCGAACCCGGGTCTCTGGCGCATAAGCTAAAGTAGACCTCCCCCAGCCCAGGCAACTGAGGACCCTGCTACGCGCAGTGAGGGTGCGGACGTCACCACACCAGCTCCCCTACACTTGCAAGACTTTAATAACAGAAAACAATGTTTTCTTGTCAATGGCATAAATGGTCTGTAAAAATAGGGGGCACATTTTTAACAATCCAGAGGATGTGCAGTGTAAACTTTGTCATCAAATCTAATTAGTCCAGTGCTGTACCTGTGTTATCAATGAAAGCACAACAATCAATGCCTGGTAAAATAGGGTGAGGTTCTTAATAATATACTTCCCACTGGGCTCCTGGCAGCATGTTAATGACCATCTGCTGCAGTGAGCACACCAGACATCACCTAGTCTTGCACCTTGCTGCAAATTACTCTGCAGTATACTGAGCTACTCAGTGCCTACAGCTTTCTTTAGGAAGGAGTTACAGTGTATTCAATTACGAATGCACAGATTATAAGACCTGCTGTACATTAGTCGGTTGTGAAAGCCAAAAAAGAATAGCAGCTAAAATCATACTTTTCACATGCTGGAAGAATGTGTTTATTATTGTAACCAGAACGTACATTACACTGCTTTTAGTTGCATCCTCCTGTGCTTGTATTAATGACAGACACTTCTGTACCATTACAATATTCTCGCAATTTATCCTTCAGTTCATAAAACACATCCCGGTACAAATGCAGCGTTTAAGTGGAATTGAAGCAGGTTGGTACTTTAGCATCTAGGAGAATACTAAATTTGTTGCACAGCTCAGTTGGAAATTTAGGCAGGATTCTGGAGGAAACTGGAGTCTGTTCAGTTATTCTTCCATTGCGCACTAATCCACTGTGCAAGATGCTGCACAAGGCAACACCTTTATTTAAATTACATTTTGATTTAATAGAACTGTAGCCCTTGCCATAAGCCCAGAGAACTCTAATTTCTTTCCCAGTAACAATTCCACTTACACTGTACACCACCACCTCTGGTGTGGTTCTTTTCTTCTTAAAGAAATTTGCTTTATAAAATTTATTTCTTAATCATGCAGAGTTTATCTGCTTTACACCACTAAAGTCCATTCACACTCACCACCACTCCACAGAAAGGCATTTGCCTATTCTTCAAAACAACTAAATACGTCACAGAGCACAAACCTGGTGGGATACCCACAAAGTGAAACAGAATTTAATATTTGGTTCATTTATTTGGAGAATCACGGTTCTCACAAATGTCTTAGCCAAATATACTCAACCTCAGTAATAGGTAACATTTAAAAAGTTAAGTACAAAGGAACTTTTGCCGTTTTTTTTTGCAGGTGGGATTGCTGGAAGATCTTATCCATCACCTGGGGGCTGACTTTCCGCGGAGAAGAAAGCCGAGCGCGGCGGCCAGGACGCAGCGGGCGCGAAGGAGGAGGGGAAGGGCAGAGCACCCCCAGCCAGCAGCAGAGAGAGGCCCCCCCGGAGCTGGACATTAATACACCGCAAGCAGGACCACAAAGGCCTGTCTTCAAACTAATGAGGCGTCCCCTCGCGAAGCCCCGTCTCCAGCAAGACGCTCTCGCCCCTCATTAGTCTTAGCTGGCAGAAATAAATGGAGTTTGTGAGTCCATTGGCTTCGTCCTTATTTACATTTTTCCTTGCTTACTTTGAGGGAACACGGTCTCCCTTTCTGTGTTCTCACTTCGGTGTTGAAAGCAGCAAAAGGACAAGTGGTATCCCCTCGTTTCTGGCATCAGCGCTGCCGTCAAGCACCGTCAGCGACCACAGAAACCTGCCTTCTGCTTTTAACATCGTGGTGGGGAGGGGATAGAAAAGGCTTCAAAATGTATTCAAGTGTTTCAGTTACGAGCCAACTGATTAATAGTTTTAAACACTTTCAAGCTGTGGTTTAGAAATGTTAAGTGTGCATGTGAACAAATTAACAGCAAATGCTTTTCGGAAAAAAAAAATGTTAGAGGGTGTCGTAAAGGGGATTTGATGGTCACAATTTCTTACTGAAACAAATTCAGTAACGTTCAACTAAAATCTCAGAAATTCTCAGAAAAATCAGACCTCTTGATAAGAGAGGCTTACCTATCTCAATGCGAAAAAAATGTTAAATCTTTTTTCTCCCCCCCCATCTGTTTTTAATTGCATCTGTCTTGTTTATTATCATGTACAAAGAAAAAAAATCGATAACAAAATGGTTAGAAAATTTGAGTGCACGAACTGCAGTTTCAGGATTGATGCTGTTCAATTGTAGCCGAGTAAACAACCGGCGGCCACTCGCCGTTCTCAGGCGGGCTGAGAGGTTGATCGATCGGCTGCAGCAGCCAGCTTCGAGCGTGACCCCCGTCCGGGGACCCCCTCCCCCGACCGGCCCGGCGAGCGCCCCGGCCCTGCTGGAGCGCACAGCCCCGGAGAAGGCGGATCATCCCGCGGTTCCCCTCTGCGCTGCAGGGATATTCGCGCAGACAGAAGGATGTCTACATGTACAGTATTTTTTTTTTTTGCTCCATGCTGCAGCCTCTTATTTTTCGGCCGCGGTCACTCGGGTGCTTCCTATTGCAATCTTGTTCCATGTCAACAGTAGTGTCTTCAACTTATTGGCCTTAACCGGCATGAGACACGTACTGTAATGCTTTGCTCAGTAAGAAATCGGATAACACGTGTGTTCATGTGTGCTATTTACTTGAAACAAGTTTCATTTAACTTTTAGTGCTGATTGTCCGAAATCCTTTTGAATAGTACTTGTGCAATATTTACTAAATATACCACCATTTATATTTGTATAAAATATTGTAGCGGCCGAAGAGCGCTACAATATATTCTAACTTACACACACCCAAAGAAGGCTGCACAGCCGAAACGTTGTTTCTTTTCTTGTCTTTTCAGCATGGAATAAACCTTTACTTGCTCCAATATTTACCAATCCCATCATCTTTTGAATTTGTAAATAATTGCAAAGCAGCCTAATGCAAATTGCTTATTAAAGTAGATGAAAAACGTCACAGAAACTCATTTAGATCTGTATGAATTTCACCTCCATTATACAATATTGTGAAAAGCAAAATACTTTTACATGCATAAATCGCAATGTCAGACTTCACTGAAATTCATGAACAAAAGCTATGTATGAACTGCTAAAAAGCCAGCCTTAATGTTAAGTACTGTATACTGAAGAGACTGTTGTATATCCTGAAGGAACTCTGTAGTAAGAAGATGTAAAGGAGCATTGTGGGTTTTTCACTCCAGAGTAATTTGTACCTCATATATGAAACATAATGCAACGGATTCAAGGTATTACGGCAAACTGATACAGTGTGTGTTAAATCTTCTGTTGTAATTATTGGAAATAGTGTTGGAAGCGTCAAAGGAGCTGATTTGAAGTAGAAACGGGTAAGTGAAATTTGCACAGAGTCACAGAGCTCACCACTGTCCCATAGAACTTTCTCAAGAGTACAACTGAGCTACAATGTTGTTGGACATATATATATATATTAAATGCTCGTCTTTAAAGTTACATGTCACATCTGAGCTTTATAATCTTTCTTCAATTCTGTGATTCATGCTGTGTGAATAGATGGATAGTCATAGTGCTTATTAGAGCTATAGGAATCTCAGGATACAACAAGGAGAAATCTAACAAACTCTTGTACCTCTGGTATCATTTTTTTACAGTATAAAGTACCACAGCCTTGCTGAATTGTGTTTTTGATACAGTACATCATTAGAAACTGAGTCTTTGGTTTGAGATGAGTCCAGTGCAACTCGAACCCTGGAAGGATAATAACTTGAAGGATAAGTGAATACCTTTTCATAAAAAAAGAAGTTAAGAGCATAAGAAAGATTACAAAAGTTACTTCATTTATCATGGTTCATTTGCTGTTCTAATACTGAATAAAACTATTTTAAAATTTATTATAGCCTCAGTTCTAACATACAATTGACAATTTTGTTCACCAGCACTTGTAATTCAGTGCACTCTGTTTTCTTTTTACTCACTCGACAAAGTCCTTTCTTTCTCCTTATATATTTTCCCAATTGGTTTATTAGACTATTTTTTTACTCTAGGGATGATTCCGGCTCTATCTCTTCCCATTCTACAATATACATCTTTTAAACTCTGACTCATTCCCTCATAGTCTGCTTCCCAGCTTTGACTCGGACTCTACATGGACAGTTTCATACCATAATATGATCACAGCTCCCTAATGGATCTCTCCCCTCTTTTCCTCCATTCTGTCTTCAAGTGTTTAAGAAGACAAGATCAATTCAGAGACTTCCTATAGAAAACAGTTCCCAGTGTTTATAAAAGTATTCAAGGAAGTCATGAAGGATTCCCTTGTTATCAACGAAAGAAGTGTGGGAATAAGACATTCACAGCACTTTGGGACAGACCAGCTTTACCACCTGGGGGCTCTTATGCAAAAGCAAACACTGGGCGCCACTGGTGTCTTTTGTAAATGTGAAAGGAGGGGAGTGGAGAAGATACAAGGATATGTGCAGTCTGGACAAGAGCATGAAGGTGTAGAACCTGAAATGCATCAAGATTCCTCTGTCCCATTGCTTTCCATCAGAGAGAAACATGAAAGCAGCTATTTAGATTTCTTGTTTTCAATAAGGAAAATATCTGTGGAAGATACAGTACATACTGTGAGTCCTAATTATATATGTGCTATGGTGGTGTTATTAAACACACTGGTATGCAGAGAATCAACTTTCAAGGTCTTGACTAATTGGGAGGGGTCTGAGCCCTGAGGTTACCAGGGAGACGAGCAGTTCTGCTTTGGGTCCCTTCGTCTCCCTTCCGGCACCGACAGGGTCTTCCAGCTCTGGGATCAGCCTCCCCAGCCCCCGGCTGTCTCCCTGCCAAAATTTCCAGTGGGAAAACAGCGTCGGCTACAGTATTCTACACAGCATTCAGCATTGAAGAGCACAGCACCCTGGTTTACGGCACTTTGCTTCATGACTCAATCCATGAAATATTTCCAGCATCGTTTTTTTCTCAGGCTTTCTGTCCTCAGCCCAGATCATTACGTCAGTCCTTAACAAGACGATCCCCTTGCTCAAGGGCTACATGGCCAAGAAAAAAATACTCCAGGATAAATCCATCCTTGTGTCGACTGTCCTTCAATCCAGAATATTACCACTGTCATGTTGGATCAGTCATTGAACTGATTTTGACAAAGATGATTATAAACCATGGTTAGTGAGACAAGGACACATGATGCATGAACTAAAGAAACTCAGCTAAGTATCACAACGTGATATGGGAGGCAAGATCTTTTTAAAAAAGATCAGCCTATTTTAGAAAAATAAATCCAAGCACATGGTATGACGTTAGCATATCTCATTTTAGCTCTTAGTACAGAGATGCTAAAAATAAGTGATTTTGTTTTGCAAGACAAGACATTGAGCTGTACATTGTCAGTGACAATGATGAGCTGCACTGAAGCCTTGAATGACAACAAGCAGAAACTTCAGAACACATTCAGACTTATCTGGGTCTTTCACAACAGCACAATGAAACCCCCTTCCACAAGCACACGCACAGAAAAGGAAAGCAGAAAGGAAAAGTGAGTCACAATGGGACAAAGGAGGCAGAATTGTGGGTGAAGTGCTGGATCTGCTGGCTATCTAACTAGTCGCAATTATTGCACAGACTGCAGGGTCAGATGTGCCGAACCTGCTCCAAAACTAGGACAAGCAGAGATTGACTTCAGATTGGGGGGGGGTTTCAGTTTCTGGACCTGTTGCACTTTTGAAAAAAATCAATTTGCTCCACACATCATAGGCTGACAGAAGCCATATATATATGTCAGGAATATTCCCAGCCCCACTTCACAAAAAAAACGCCAAAGGAGGATACAAACAACTGTAGATATAACACTAGCAAAAACTGGAGAATGAAAATATGTGCCTAACTGTCGGACTGACTTAAAACACAGTGCACGCTCATCAGTAGTGCACTACGATCCCAGCCAACAAAACCCAGCTTGTTCTGAAGATTTTTCAAAAGCCCTGGAATGAAATGTTTGCTTACCGCCCCAGAGAATGAGCTGCCAAACGTGATCTGGCAAGTTTTCAAAGTGTGCAGAGCTGTGCAGATCGCAGGACTGCCTGCTCATGTGCGGCACAGAAATCTTCACGCAAAAGAGTAAACAAAGAATGCAGCAAGACTGATCTCCACTATTAGCTGACTAAAACATCTCAAATACCCAGCAACAGCCCAGTGGGTTCACACACCATCACAGGGTATTCTGACTTTAGAGCAAAAAAATAATACAGGTTAAAAGACAAAAAGGTACTTTTGAGTGTCGATTCTCCATTCTGAGTAAAGGTCAGTATAATATAATGAAATACACCTGATATCCGTCTATCATACTGGGGAAAGATGTTCAAATACAGCACCTTATTTTTAACAATTATTCAACTGGACAAAAAAAAACACATTCTGGGAAAAAAAAAAGGAAAAATGCTTAAGTACAGTACAAGCTGAATCGAAGTACAATCTCTTGTGTCTGACCCATTCAATGAGCCAGCAAAAATGTCTGGCACTGAGCCTTCTCTCAATGTGCTGATAATATGGTTCTAATAATCAGAAATGCTGTATTGGCACAAACCACC